TCAGGGTTTCGGGTTTACGGTTCAGGGTTTGGGGTTTAGGGTTCAGGGTTTAGGGTTCAGGGTTTCGGGTTTAGGGTTCAGGGTTTCGGGTTTAGGGTTTAGGGTTTAGGGTATCCTCAGAGCATCGACCTAGAAACCAGGCTCTAAAGCCTAAACGCGACAGCCGGAAACCAGGAGACCGACCGCCGCTCCCCCTCTTATCGTGAACCACGAACTCACCTCTTACTGGAGTCCTGTAGGGTTTCAGGTTTGTAAGGCTTTGGGGTTTAGCGTTTAGGGTTCAGGGTTTAGGGTTTACAAATTTAAGGTTTAGGCTTAGTGGCGAAAAATACAAAGCCTCAAAGTTTAAAGCGCTATGGCGCTGAGCGATGAACCCTCAGCCTAAGCTGCAAAAGGAACCTTGTCATGTAGGGGCCTAAATGATTACCAATATTGCTTATACCCCGAAAACCCTATTCTAATTATTAAGGCCCCCTAAACCCTAAACCCTAAACCCTAAACCCTAAGGCCCCTACGTACAGCAAGCACACAGCAATCCGAGGACGTCGAGTTACTCCGGCAGTGGGCAATGCGCACCTGAGATGCAGCGCGGATATTTTTTGTAATTAAACACTATTCCCCCCAGCCCTATGGCCCTATAGACCGTAACACCTATACCCCTTAAAGTAATATAGGCGCCTTGGTACTTATCTACACTGTCTTTTCTTTTTTTTTTTTGGTGGGGGGGGGTTCCTTATCATAATTTGTGGTATACTTATGCCCCAAAAGCCTTATTCTAATTATTAAGGCCCCTACACTATACCGCCTAAAAGTAACCGCTAACCCCTAACCCCACACCCCTAAACCCTAAACCCTAAACCCTAAACCCGAACCCTCTGGAAGCCCACCTTTGAACCCAAACCTCTGAGGCCTCGCCACAAACCCACAACCCGTGGATCCTAGACCAAAAGCCCAACATCTGAAACCTCAATCCCCAAACCCAAACCCTATAGGGACCCCCAAATCCGAAACCCTAAACCCTCAACCCTAAACCCTGAACCCTAACCCTAAACCCTAAACCCTATAAAAGAAATAACCCTGAACCCTAAACCCTTAACCCCCTAAATCCGCAGCAAACAGAGGCGAAGCCGCTGACCCGCAAAACCCAGAGCTTACAACTTCAAGGTCTCTTTGCTAAACCCAAGAATCTGTCTTACGGAACCGCCATGAGTTTAGGTTTAGGAGGTTTACGGGTTTAGGGTTCAGGGTTTAGGGTTTAGGGTTTCTGGGTTTAGGGTTTGGGGGTTTAGGGGTTTAGGATTCAGGGTTTAGGGGTTAGGGGTTTAGGGCTTTAGGGTTTCTGGGTTTAGGGGTTGAGGGTTCATGGAAACCTAAACCGATCATCGCGAGGTCAACTGCACTCTTGGCACCTTCGCCGAGCTTCCAGGTTCGCCCTGCCGCCCATGCTGCTTGGAACGGTTGGGTTTAGGGTTAAGGGTTTAGGGTTTAGGGTTTAGGGTTTAGGGTTTAAAGTTTAGGGTTTAGGGTTTCTTTTCCGGGTTCTACAAGGGGGCTCTCATAGAGGGTGTGCAGGGGGTGGTGTAATGGGCTTGTAAACGAGCCGAAAAGCGAGGCCCGGGAGGCAGCCATGCGCCGGCGGAAGGCCTCACAGCTTGTGCCTCTCCCTGCATTCGGTTTAGGGTTTGGGATTTAGGGTTTAGGGTTTAGGGGTTTAGGGTTTAGGGTTTAGGGTTTAGGGTTTTTAGGGTTTAGGGTTTAGGGAGTTAGCCTCATTAAACAAGACTGATGGTCTTAGATGAAGATAGCGTTTTTTTCAGTAATACACAGCGAAATATGGAGTATCAGTAAGAATAGAAGTAGTGTATGATTTAAAGGGCAGAAGTGTGAAGATCATCATTGCGGTGTGGGATTTTGAAGCTTCTTCTCCGTGGTCGACACTCCCGCAATCACCCTAGCGGTATTTTTCAAGACCCTAAGCCCTAAACCATATTGGCCGTGCTCAAAAAAACATATAAGCCCTAAGCCCTATAAGCCCTAAACCCTATAAATGCTAAACCCTAGAAGCCCTAAGCCCTTCTAAGCCCTAAACCCTATAAACCACAAGCCCTATAACCCCTAAACCCTATAAACCCTAAACCTTAAAAGCCCTAAGCCCTATAAACCTTAAGCCCTATAAACCCTAAACCCTAAAAACCATAAACCCTGAGCCCTAAGCCCGAAAGCGCCGGACTGAAGCCCCAAAGCTGACGCATAAAGTGCGAAACCTTTAGGGTTTTAGGGTTTTAGGGTTTAGGGTTTAGGGTTTTAAGGTTTTAAGGTTTGGGGTTTTAGGGTGTTAGGGTTTAGGGTTTTTGGGTTTTAGGGTTTAGGGTTTAGGGCTTTAGGGTTTTAGGGTTTAGGGTTTAGGGTAATCTAAGCCAGAAAGACTGAACAGCTAAGCCAAAAAAACCAAACTAAGGAACCCTTAACCTAATCCCAAAGCCCTGTGCCCTCGCGCAAGCAACAGAAGCTAAAGCCTTCAAGGAGTAGGTTTTGTCGGGTCCAAGAAAATATCCTAAACCCTTCAGCGCCAACCCTAAACCCTATATTAAAAACCCTATATAAATCCTAAACCCTAAACCTTAAAAGCCCTAAACCCTAAACCTTAAAAGCCCCAAACCCTAAA